AGTTTTTGTGCTTCTCACTGTTACTTTGTTTTGACTTAGACAAACTATGAAGTAGTCTTTTTTTTTGTCTCCGTCGTAGCACAGAATGACCTTGTCTGATTTCATGTCTGTGAAATTGTTTTTGTCCAACAGGAGAAAGCCAGGCACAGCTCTGAGGGCCAGGCCCACTGCTAAAAACAGGGCCTCGCTGACACTCAGGCCAGTTTCCAGACAGTTGTGGCCACTAACCATATTCCTAGACTTATGTATTTATTCCAAAGCAGAACGATCCTGCTTGATTGTTCAAACTGTATATCAGTAGTATACTTTAGTATAGATTATTTTCTGTCTTTCTTCATTCTTTGATTTATTTGTGGATTTCACCATATTGAGGATTGTGCTCAAGCTTATTTATTTCCACCTCTGTATGACATTACATCGTACTGACATCCATAATTTAATACCCATTCCCTTTTTGTTGGACATGAGTAGTTTCTAGATATTTCCGTTTATAAACAATATTTCAATGATAGTCCATGTAAATATGAGGTAAATGTCTGATAGTTTTTGCAGATTATATACCCGGGACGATGCACATCTCAAACATTCAAAATAATTCCAATTTTTAAAAATAATGTTTAAAATAACTTAGGTTTTCACCAGTGGTGTTTTTCACATCTTCTCCCATATTTTTGGTATTATTAAACTTTTAAATTGTTGACTCACTAGTGGATTTAATGCTAGTGTCATTTTAAATTTGATTTTTTTCATCTAGTCTATCATCTCTAGCTTTTAGTGGTTAAAGTTAGTCTTTTGCCTTTATTTCTCCCATCTTATTTTATTCCTTTGTTTCACTTTTTCTGTTTTTTTGTTCCTCCTTTCTTCCCTTACTTTGACTTTATTGCAACAGTTTTGTTGTTATTATACTGTTTCCCATGGTTCAGAAGTTACACATCCTTATCCTACTCATATAAAGGGCTTACTTTAAAATGTTAAGGTCCAGACCCAAATGAATACTAAATGAGAAATAAAGTACAAGGCTACGTAATATGTAGGTTGGTGAAGGGTAATTAGAGGTCAAATAGCCTTTCATCATTAAAATTCTCATTTTCTGTCTGAAAAATGCCTTCCTTTGCCCAATAATTAAAGAATTCTGGATATCACTTCGCCCACCAGGCCATTAAAACTGAACTTCTGTGACCTGATCAGTAATGCCCCAGCAAGAGGCCAGCTTTAGGACTCCACTACCATTCCAAATTCATGCTGTGAATGTGGGGAAGACTTTGAGGATTTTTCTTTCCTATGATTCCTGTTAAATAATTAAAAGGTTTCATTTAAAAAATAACATATACATCCTGCCAGAGTAGCTCTGTTTGTTAGAGCATCATCAAAATACACGTATTTATGAATGCTTAAATATGTGGAATAGCAGATCAATATTTCTCTCTCTTTCACTATCCCTCTAAAATTAATCAATAAATAAAATTTTTAAAAAGACAAGAATGGCCAACATCTTTGGAAAATATCACATGCTATAGTATTATATATATATATGCAGTGGTATAGTATACTATAGCATCACAGAGAGTAGTTTTTAAAGCCCTAAAAAGTAATAATAATATATAGACTTCTGCTACCAGGAATATAGCAAATATGTGATTTTTTCTAATTCTCATGCTTGAAACAGAAAAACTATTGCTCATTATATAGTAAACTAGTATCCCAGTACATGAAATTTGGGGGAGGGAGGGAGTTGTCCCTCAGCTTGGCCTGCACCTTCTCCAATCTGGGATCCCTCTCACAATCCAAAAGTACTGCTGGCTCCTGCCTGCCTGATGCCCCTAACTGCTCCCCTCTGGCCTGATGGCCCTAACTGCTCTCCCCTCCTTATCTGATCCCCATAACTGTCTATCTGCTCTCCCCTCCTGGCTTGCTTCCCCTAACTGCCTATTTGCTCTGCCCTCCTGGCCTAAACCCCCTAACTGCCTATGTGCTTCCCCTTCCTCTCTGCGCCTTCAGCCTCCTGCTCATGAGTGCTGAGAGCTCTCTACTTTGACCCCACCCCTGACCTGATGCCCCCTGCAGGCTGCACCATGGGCCTGCAGGGCCTCTGGTGGGTTGGGGTGGGGGGTGGGGCAGCTGTTCTCTGAGGCAGCCTCATGTCCTGGTGGCACTAGTCCCTGCCCCCGTCCCCGCCCACAGCTCCTGTGCACACGCATATTGTGCAATATATTTTTAAGATCTTCACATTGGGAGAAATTGAATAAATGTATATAGAACCTCTGTGAAGTTATAATTTCATGTGATCTACAATTATGTAAAAAACAAAATGTTCAAATTTTAAAATAATACATTAGTTGTTCTTAGGGGTTATACATGATATATTTTCAGAATGCCTCATTGGCCTCATTGCTGTAAAGTAGTTTTAAGTTTGCTTCCAATGATTTTTTTTTTCTATTTGTAATGCTCCAAACATAAAGAGTACAAACATATTTTGGACCTGCAAAAAATGCATGTCTTATTTTTTTTGTTTGTTTTGCCAATTTCAGAAAGTTCAAACATTCTTTTGTGACCCCATGAAGCATGCAAAGTAAATATAATTGAATAACCTTTAAGTCCAATGAGAACAATAATATTTCTCCTTTGTTGTAAAGAGGTCAACAATAAGACTTTTTTTTTTTTTTTAAGTCAAACATATTTCTTTAAAGCCTGTATTGGATAAACAATTTCTTAGGTAGTACAATAATAATGAATAGGCTATTCTAGAAAATTCAAATCTTAGTTTTTGAGAGTATATGATCAACAATAACACTACATTATGTAATACAGAACTAGAGGAATTATATCCCACAAATTAAACTGGAATTTAGTAAGGTCTCTAGGGCCTGTCCTTTACCTCATTCATTGAATCACACTTATTCCAAATAACCCATAGGCAATTGCAAAAAATGCAATTGACTTATAGTTTTTGAGGAGCTCAGCTAGTATCTGTGATTTACATTAATCAATATGTACCCTATTTACAAGAAAAACCTATAATGAAATCACCAAAGGAATAAAATCATACAGAAATATGTACTCTCTTCCTATGTTTCTTTGATTGATGAAATAACTTTTATTTATATTCTATAAAGACATCCATAAAATGGAGGTTCTTTTTTAAGAACTCTATTATTTCAGTGTTGAATAGTTTTGCAGCTGCGAAGATCTCAGGAGTATTTTGCTTTAAGCAATACTTCCTCAAGCCTTTATTCAACACATTTCTCTCGTAATAGCTCCAGAAGATTTCTGTGACTGATTATTCTATGTGATTCACTCAGAATACACTAAATGCTAACATTAAGCTCACAATGAAAATGGCCAGGAATTAGAAACACAATATTTTAACCTGTTCCCTTGATAAAACCTCCTTTTCCTCCTAAAGTTTTCAACCTTATATATAAAATAAATTTCTTCAGGCTCTAACAGTCCTCACATTTACAGGCACAAAGGACTCCCCATTATAATAAGGATTTTCAAAACAATGTAAGGTTTAAAATTACTTTTACAACAGAAAAAAAAAAGGAGACATAGACACAATTATCATTTAAAGATAGTCCAGCAGTTTTTCTACCATGAGGGTCACACGGGTGTGTCACAAGAATTTTTAAAACATACAATACCTGACTGTTTAGTTAAGGGCACTGACCTCTTTTCCCAATAGATTGTTTAAAAAAAAAAAAAAAAAAAAAAAAAAAAAAAGCAGTACAATAGTACCAGTGTAAACGAATCAAAATTACCTATTTTTTGTCAGATTGGCAAAAAAGGTGGTAATGTAAGAGCCTTCAGGTAGCATTGATGAGTGAGTGTCTATGGGAGTGCAGGAAGCTGAGTAATGAGAAAGCACCCACAGTTTGAGTTAGAGTTTGAACCACAAGCTAATATAGTCAGTACTTTTATTTAAAAATTAGGACAATATAGCTTAAATTATTTTAATTTCTGTGAGCTTCTACATAGATACAATTCTATGTCGCTGGAATTGAATAGTTCTTTATATAAAGAGAATGAGAATTATCTAAGACCTTTTTTTTTAATTTCTGTCCTTGGTGCCAGAGGTATAGGCATTCTAAATTATCAGACAGAAAAAGGAACTTAAACTTTGATTAAAGGAAATGGCGTCCAAGACATTTACTTCTTAAAATGTTTACAACAAAATAACTGCAGCTATGTGTTATACAATATACACCTAAACTTGATTCTTTCCTGCTATATATGTAGCAAATACTTTTCTCCCTTAGTCGTTTACATTAACTGTCAAATGCATTTGCTGTACTTAATAGCCAAACTGCACACATCAACAGAAAAGAGAAGCAAAGGCAAGCAGTACTCATCCATAGTTTATTGGCCAACTTATGGACAAGCATAGACAATTAGCTTCCTTAGCAATTCTGAGATTTGAGTCACACAGGCAGATGATGTTTTCAGTAAAAGTTCTGGGAAGTATCCAGTGATTCATGCAGCTGGAGGGTGAGAGAGATGCCCCATTTGGTGGCATGAGCTCTTCCTTCATCACATTCACCAGTTACTTCTCTGGGACCAGAAGGAAAGGGAGCCTGCTCCACCAGAAGCCACAAAATATATATGTTTCCATATGCAGTAAAGCTGCAGTCTCCCTCCTGTTATTTCACTCCTCTGCCGCTTTCTTAGACTCTACGTGCAGAATTTTAGGGATTAAATTGACCTTAAGGATTATTTTACTGCCTAGGAAGGTAGACCTCGCATGATGAGTGGCATGACTGATTAGTGGTAAAGCTGGTGAACCAACAGCCTGCATGACTTCAAGTCCCTCCTCCTCTTGACTACACCATCCTGCTGCTTTCCATTCCTTCCCCTTTTATTCTCAGGACGTAGTTGAAAAGCATTGGGATAATGTATTGCGCTTCTTTAAGCCTTTTCCTTCTTCACACATGTAGGACAGTCAGGCTGTTGAGCATAACAGCTTGTGTAATTCTTAAGGAATCTCTGTGTTTTTCTCCAAACAGCCCCCAAACCAGTGGATTTGAAGTTATGCACCGGCCCTGCTCCTAACACTACACAGCTGTGCCACATCCCCTGTCCAATTGAATGTGAGGTTTCACCTTGGTCAGCTTGGGGACCTTGTACTTATGAGAACTGTAATGACCAGCAAGGCAAAAAAGGTATGTAATATTAACATGACGCACTTGGAATTCTCCTCTATTGAGTCAAAGCATGAGTTATTTAATAGGCTACTCTGTTTTTCTTGTAATTATTCATTTGTGATATTTTCCAGAATGGCTAAAGAGTATTGATTGCAAAGGATGAATAAACCTAGTCTTGCTGATGGTGCTAGAAGATTAAAATCGAAGTAGGCAAGATACTTGGTAATTTAGACAACAGATGGAGAATGTCTAAGGCAATTTTGCACAGTGGTTATAATTAGCTGTGGTGTCAGGCTGACCTGGATTGGAAACCCTACTCAGTCTTATATTGTTTAGATAAGTTAACCAACTTATCTAAATCTTTGTCCCTTTATCTTGGAGGGGGATGTAATAATATCTACCATCTAAGTTTTCTCTAAAGATTCAATGAGATAATAATGAGAAAGCTCTCAATTCAGTGTCTGACCCTTAGCTAGTGCCCAGTGAACAGAACACATTACTCTGAAGATAAAAGCAAAAACAAAATGTTGCCTATTTTATGATGCAAATGATATATCTAGGAAGAGATGAATGAATGCAGTGGTTTGTTATGTGGTAAGCCATGGTGGGATGATTTTAACATGATCCGGTAATTAAAAATCATTTCCCCGTTTTCTTTCAAAGGATAGTGTCCTAGCGATTCTAACATGTTCACATGGCAACAGACATTAATTTTGTTATACATTGTCAGGAAGGCAACACTTCGGTGCTACGAAGGCACAGAGCAGAACTCTGGCTACTTATGAAAGCCAAAATGGTTTATATTCCTAATTCCAATTTCCAGGGAGTTAAAAATCAACCAAGTCTCAAAGAGACAATTTTCTGGGACTATTGAACTTACCAGAAGTTCCTTTTTCAGATATAATTGTGTGATAGTGTTGAAGAATTTGAAGTAATAGCACTTTTGTCTAGTCATGAATATTCCTGAATAGCTTGGTATTTCATTGTTTCTTTGAATATTTTATAACTACGTACTGTCTACATCAAGCAAAATTAATCTAGATTTCTCTTTCTCTTTCTCTCTCTTCCTCCTCCTACCTCCTCCAGCCCTTGAGGATGTGACAGGAGATAGATGGCCTGTCTTGCCTTATTTTTACTATACTTAAGCTAAAACCAAAAGTTTCTCTTTGGCCATTCTGTTTATTCATTCAACTATATATTTAATAAATTATTCATAAACTCACATTAGGCTAGAGTTTAAGGGTAAACCAGTGATTAAAGCAGATATGATTTATATCTCCTAACCTCATCCACCTTTCACTCATTTTTTTTTTCAGTCTTCTACAATATTCAGCCCTCGATGGTAACATCAAAGTTTTCCTTCCCCAATGATTCAGGTTTCAAACTGAGGAAGCGGCGCATCACCAACGAGCCCACCGGGGGCTCGGGGGGCACTGGGAGCTGCCCTCACGTACTGGAAGCCATTCCCTGTGAGGAGCCGTCCTGCTATGAGTGGAAGGCAGTGAGGCTTGGAGACTGTGAGCCAGACAACGGCAAAGAGTGTGGTCCAGGCACTCAAGTTCAGGAGGTTGTCTGCATCAACAGTGATGGTGAGACCTATCTGTCCTGCTTTTGTGATTGTCTGTTTGACCCTATGCTTTATCCTCTCTCATCTTCTCTCATCATAATTGGTTCCATTTAAAAATACAGAAATAGCTGCTGATTCTTTCATTCTTCCCTTAGCTCCTTCTATCCCCCTCCTGCCTCCCTTCCTCCCTGCCTTCCTCTCCTTCCCTGCCTCCCTCCCTTCCTAATTGTGACAGTAAAGAGGTTCTTTGGACAATCGCAGTATTTTTTCATTTGAAAACAGGTAACACAGACTAAGAATTAAATCATCATTAGGCCAATAATGTATTACATCGCCAAATTTTAAAATAATGAGAAAAGGTAACATTTTCCTAATTGGTATTTTTCCCCTCTAAGAAAATGAGAGGCGTTATAAGGGTTGGTTGACTGTCCTGAGAAGCCTTTACCAGCATTTCACATCCTGATATTACAGCTTAGTGATATAATGTAATTTCCAGGTTCCAGAGCCACTGGGCCTGTCTCACCCTTGAGTTCCTGCATCAGCCTTCTGAGCTCTAGGGCCTCCCCTCGGGGACTGTCACACAGCCACTGGGATGGCGATTGTCCGTGGTTCTTTTCCTGAACTGCCTTGGACTTTTACCACTGAGTTTGGTTTGATAAAATATCCTGTCTTGTTAGGCCTGACATAAGATTGTGCATTCTTTCCTAGAGCGCTGCTGCTGTTTTAAGGAGATCCCCTTACTCCTCAGCTATCCCTGGGTCACACTTGGGAAGCAGACCTTCCCCAGACGTAGCTGAAAACCCCTGGCGCAGAGCATCCCTAAGGCTCCTTCTTGCTCTCCAATCTATGACTCTGCGCAGCAGGGCAGCTTGAGCACCATGCCCCAGGGGCCTGTGCTTCGACAGTCTGTGCTGTTTCCAGCACGCTCGGAAGCATTCCAGCGCCCTCCCAGGGGCACTGGGACATCTGGTAGCCATCATAATTCCTTCCGTCCCATTTTCTTACCGCACCGCATGCAGGACTGCTTCCGCCTGTGAGGCAGTCACTATGCAGTAGAGAAAGATATCCTCTGGGGTGAGAGAATGACAGGCCCTGTCAGCGCTGCCAAATTAGCCTTTCGACTCTGAAACGCACAGCATCGTCTTTGTCCAGAGCCCAAGGTAGTCGGGCAGGACATCACCACACCAGCGCCTGCAGCTGGAAGGTGAAGAAAGGGGTATTGATCCGATAGTTTGCAGCAAAGGTTATCTATTTTTCTTTTTTCTCGGTAGATACAGTTAACTAGGATACAGCCTCTCTCTCCCTTGTACCCAGTTCTGCCCTGAAATAAGAAAAGGAGACTCACATCTAGGAAAAAGAAAGCAGAAGAAACACATTCTGTGGCACTTGTACACCCACTTCAGCTCCTCATGTGGGTTGGATGGCACCCTCTGTGTTTCCTTCTGAGCTGCTGTAGAAGCAGTATGGGTCATATTTATTTTGGCACCCTTAGTAACTCCTTAACTGATAACACTTCTTGATTTCCACCCCCCTCAATTGAAATATTTTCTTTTATCCTCCTGTAGGCCTAGGGAGGAACTGGGATCCCATGTACTTGGTCTATTGGGGCAAGCTAACATTAAAAAAAATAAATGCGCAGATGAAAAGTTAATTGCCCATAAAACTTTTGCCTAAATATTATCAGATGAAAAAAATCAGATCTCACTTATTGCGGTGCTCTTCCTGAATGTTTGTGCAAATTGGGTATATCTTAAATATACTAGAGGAACCGGCTATTTTAAAACTATCAGTGCTTGTTTCTAATTTTGTCAGGCAAAATATTTTGTAGCACAGATATTTACCTCGTAAGTTGTCTTGTGGAACATGAAAGAACAAGCAGAAGAATGAGTTAGCTATGCCTGGTTCTATGGGAGAGTGATGTGTGTTATAACTTAAAAGGCAAACGGATAACTCGCAGTACATGTAAGCTGGTTTCACTTCATCTATTGCACAGAAAGAGTGATAAAAAAATGGTAAGATGTATGCTTATGGATATTGGATTTGTCATTATTGTCCTTTATTAGGACATCTCTTTCACCATCAAATTTTACTTCCTGACATAAATTAGTTGTAGTGCAGCTCAATATTTTAACTGGCTCAACTACAGGGATGTATAAAATCAAGAAAATCCTCTATTATTATATATCCTAGAGGCTGTCCAAATTTCTATGTAATGGAACCATAATTGCGCTGATAGAATCAGAGCCAAAGCTGGAACCTTATAAATACTCCTCCAGTACTGTTACCGTGTGGTTGGTCACCTATAAGTGTTTAGCAGCTGCACCAAATGTTATTTTATAATTAAATCGAACCCAGAGAATTAAAGTTGATTAGTTGTACAGGCTCTACCTCTAGGCCTGGCTGCGACTATAGATTTTCTTTTTATAATTAAGTTAAAGCTCAACTAGGGAAATGAAGAATTTGAGTCTATGAATATAGAAAATAATAAAAATACTTTTTTTTTTTTTACCTCCCACATTCCCCATAAATTTACAACCTTGTTAATGACCTTAAAACATTTAAAACGTCTATTTTTTTTTCCCTGAAATATTTTTGTCCGGGCTTCCGGAGATCATTAAGATTTGCTGGTGCTGGTTTGTTTATTTATTTACTTTTTCATTGCTCCAGTTGTCTTCTAAGGAGTGGGATTGGGGAAGGGTTGTGAGAGCCCTCAGGAATCCTGTGCAAGTTCTCTGCCAGGTAGAGACGTATAACAGAAGCAAGACAGAGAACTTAGAAACATTTCATGTGTAATAGAAAAATTGTCACTCATAATTTAAAGGTGCTCAGAAAAGCAATTTTAGATCTCTGAGCACAAACACAGGAACTACTCCAAAGGTCTGGCGCTAATGTTGGTGGGCCGGAATTGGACAATGAGAGAAGCCAAATCTTCTCTACTTCAGATTTTGCAAAATTTGCCCTTGTTTTAGTTAAGGGTGTCAATTTGGGGAGGCCAGAGTATTTTGTTTCCCCAATCAGTTGGTTAGAAGCAAAACTAAGCAAGACTATTAGGCTGAACGTGGGAAAAAGAAAATCCATTGTCTTTTGATAATTTAAGGACACTGTAACCAAATATTATTTTCATATTTTCCCTCCCTCTGTGGGAAAAAAAAAATAAATGATGCCATCCATATCTGATTACCACATGCTTAACTTCAAGTGTCAGTGTACTGTACTGACACCTCTCTGTGCCAATTTCGAAACCACAGTTTTGTTGATTTGTTTTGGTACTGCTTGGTACTGCTCAGCAGTTGTGAAATGCCTTCTGTGCCACCTTTCTTATTTCTCTCCACATTAGTAAAAGTAAACATAGGGACATTCATGTAGAGGACTCATGTTTATGCTTGAGTTTTATGAAACCAAACAATTACATTTCTATGAAAACCAACTGATACAACAATTCATCCTTGCATGGCTATTAATGGTGCAGTAGCAAGAGCAGTGACCGGCCAGGACCCTCAGAGTGGATTATGCTATTCTTAAAGCACTATGGCTCTGGTTCAGCTCTCTCCTCTTCCATAGGGGAAAGCATATAAAAATTCAACTAAAGGGGAATATCATTTTATGGATAACCGCAAATCACTCTAACTTATTGGTTAAAAGTAACTGACTTTAAATATCATTAACAACCAATGTTTTATATATACCTAAAATCTGATTATAAAACTCCACTGTGTCATATCACTATGGTTAGAAAGTATTGGATTAATAAGAACATCTGGTAACCAATTCCTCATGTACAGATAGAAGGACTTTAGATAATATTAGATGTTTATAAATCATATGTAAATAGGTATAAGATATATTACCATATGCATGTGAATTCATTACATGGAAACATTTTTCAATTTATTATGTGAGAGTTTATATCTGTTTTTGTTTCCCCAATATCAGAATCTCCTTAAAAGTGTGCTGTGAAATCAGATTCATAAGTCTTCTCTATTGACCCAGTAAATTACAACCTGTGAAGGCAAGTCCCAGAAAATTGCATTTTTACAAAGCTTCCTGGATGGCTCTGTTGTCCAATGAAGGTTGTGAAAATGACAACACTTTTTTTGTGGAACATAAGACCCAACTCTGTTATTAGAGGATAGGGAGCAAAACACCAAGAATAGAACAAGAGAAATTACAAAGTATATTGTTGAGACTAATATTTTGATTGATCGAGGATATACATAAACTCTCCTAGAAGCATAGGGTTTATTCAGGATGCACCCCCAGGAGAAACCAGTAAGACAAGGGGAAACAAAGAAGCAAAATAAAAATGTCAATTCATATGTTTAGAGCTAGATGAGAATGCAATTTCAGAAGCGTGATCACTCTCTGGAACTGGAATCTGCTTCTTAACACCAATTACACAGCCATTACATGAAAAAGCTGATCTTTTAAATGTAAAAATACTCTCTATAACTGAGTTGTTTTTCCATAATTTAAGCAATAAATCAACTTAGTTTCCTTCCTGTAGAATGCTCTGCTATTTAATGTGTTTGAAATATAATTAGGTTGGATATTATGCTTAAATCTAAAGTCTCTTACTTTACAATTAGGATAATCTAACAATGTTGGTAGGAGTTTGTTTCCTATAATTGAATTAAGATTCTCTATTTAATTTTTGTAAAGACAAAAATTTTCTTTAATTTAAGGCAGTGGGATATTTTTCACTGTTGGTTTGTAGTAATCACAATTTTACTTTGGCCTTTAAAAATCTGACATCAGATACCAAGATCTGTCTTCTGTGTGTTTGTTTTGGGTTTGTGAACTCTCAGGATTGAGCCGGGGCTCTTTTGCATAGCAATGCCTTAGCAAAGAAATAGAATTTTAGAAAGAGTTTTCTTCTTTAAAGTAGTGTAGGTTTAGCTGAAGCCTCAGATGCAAGATAAGTAACCAGTAATTTGCTTACCACTAATGATCCTATATAATAAAAGGCTAATATGCAAATTGACTGAATGGTGGAACAACCAGTTGCTATGACATACCAGAGGG